TATGATTGGAGTGTGGGTGCCATGTGGCAATTTATGTCCCTGGAATAAGATTATACAATCACAGAATCAATGGAATGTAGGATTTGAGTTTCTCCTTCCCTTCTAACATATTTGGAAGACAAGGATGATTAGTTCTTTATTTTTTCTGACTTGATTGGAGTCCCCCTCACCCACCTTGCAGGAGATGAGTGCTGCACCCAGAGGACACTGAAGGATGTCTTTGTGTATCTAGTGTGTTGCGTGTGTGAAGCCAGTCCACTTCTACCGTAGGAATACTAAAGCATGTAAGGGAAAAGTGAAGAAGAGCTTAAAGAGCTGGTGATGATTTTTGGTGGTGAGTTGCAGTGATTTACTACTCTCCACGATAGGACCTGAACATGACAGTCGGCCACAAATCATCTCAACCCTATCAAGAGAGTTGACAGGCTGTGTAAGAAGAGTACATTTGTGTACACAGATGATTTAATGAAGTTGCCAGTAATGCCAAGATCTATTAGAGCCTGTCTTCCAGTGCAAAATGAGATTCGCAAGGTAACAGGAATGGCTAAATATCCCTATGCAGCTCTGAAGGTCTGCTGAACCTCTGGCTACTACAGCTTTAGAACCTCTGGAGATGGAACCATCCCAATTCCTGACAAGCCTGATTGGGAGCCTTTAGAGCAGTTGTTGGCCAAATGCCCTTCTTGCCATAATTACAGTGCTCTACTGATGCATTGGCACCCTCTTGTGTAACGGCTAGATTCTCCATAGTACAGAGAGAAGTGGATAGTAAGCAGGCTTCTATTGAATCCCAGCTGCATGGTTTAACTTCAGAAGTCTCCAATGTATAGGTGAAGTGGGAGAGAGAAGGGAATGAAAGGAAATAACAGCACCTTCACTTGCCATACCAACTTCCCCAACATCCATGTCCAAGCAGATCAGTTTTTCTGAACCAAACCATTAAGCCCCTTCGTTTCAGCGCATATCTTGAACCATCAGCGGAAATAATATTGCAGACTCCTGCCCTGAACATTTCAATCTATTGATGAGGGCAAATCTCAAAGTTGGCTATTATCTACCAGACAGGCTCCTCAAAATTAGCTCTCGAGAGGAGAGGATGTGTGGCTTGCAGCTCCTCTCAGTCAATAGACTCATCAAGAGACTACAAGGATCTAATCAACAGAGAAGCTCTTGGATCTCAAGAACATACATTATGCACTCAAAACAAGGAAGATTTGGAGACACATCATATTTATCTGGCAAAGGATGTAGGTAGGCATTTGCTTTCAAATGGCTGCAGAAGCATCAGCAACTGTTGTTCTTGGATATGATGAGGCTCCTGTTGGATTCATTTGTTGTTATGATGGTGGCTTTGCCTATCTGCTAGGCTGATTTCTTCCTAGTCTAGGTTCCTTGGTCCATCTGGGTATTGGAGTAAGGTATTGACAAACTAATTAATGATCAATAAAGCCTCCTTGAGGATCAGTGGCTATTTTTCTGATTCTTGAACATGGGATGGCTCTCCTCTGGCTGTTGGAGAAATGTGAAATTCTGGATGAGGGCAATCAAGCTGTCGATCTCTCCAGAACTGAACTCTGAAAAGCTTCCCATATATTGGTCATGCCACAGCTGGATAAGAATCTTTGCTGTAGGATAGGATGAAGCCTTTTTAAGCAGCCGACCACATGCAGTAGAGATGATGTGACCTTTGGTTGTGGACATAACCAACCAGCTCCAGCTCTAAACACAACAGAGTCTCACATCCAAAGATTAATCCTTATTTCTTTTCCCCCTAGACCAGTAAAATAAGCCAAACTAAGCTAAAATGTGGTTGAGCTATAGGGGGAAAAGCACAGGATTGCATAGAAATTTGGCAGTGTAGACTCCCTTCCCAATGATCAAAAGGAGAAAATTCCTTCCCCTTCACGCAGCCAAGTTGATTTCTCACGCTGATAGAAAACAATGAATATAATAATGCACCAGCCACAGTTCACAGAATCAATTCCTCTAATGTGCTGGGACTTGGCTGAAACCAATTTTAAAGCTGTCCTCCCCGTCCCCCCCCCTTTTGCTTTTCTGACATAAAAAGAAAACCAGATTAGGATCGGAAGAATGCTGGATGCCTATCTACATTCTAAAGGATTTTCCTCTACAGGACTACCTTATGTGAGATAAAGAACTTTTAGAGTTAAAAAATTAGGGTTTAAGAGAACAACCTTTTACAGCCCCTCCCAAGGAGGGCCTCTATGCAGCTGCAGGTTGTGCACCGGTTACACCCTTTCCTGGACCAACAGTCCCTGTTCACAGTTACCCACAGCCTAGTCACCTCCCGTCTTGACTATTACAACACGCTCTACTTACTGCCCTTGAAAAGTATATGGAAGCTTCAAGCGGCTTCTAAATGGGGCAGCCCCTATGGTTTTGTGCAAGTCTAGGTTTGAACATGTGTCATTTTCTGTTGTTTTGTTTTGGGCATTTGTCCTTGTAAGCTGCCCAGAGTCACCAAGAGTGAGATGGGCAGCCATATAATTTTTCCTAAATAAATAAGGAAACTTTTCTGGCTCCAAAAGCTATAGATGCTCTTGGGAGACTGTATACGACAGTGATGGCTAACCCTTTTGTCATCACGTGCCAAAAACATGTGCGCATGCATACCTGAGACAGCGTGCGCAACAACCCCTGTGCAGACCGCCCCCCTGAGCATGCACCCTCGTGCCCTGTTTTGGTCTAGCAGGCCTCCATGCAGCCTCCTGGGCAGGGCTGGGTTTCAACCGGTTCGCACCGGTCCCTGCGATCCGGTTGGTCGCNGAAAGTTAAAACAAGTTATGGCAAATGGGCATTTTTCTTCCCACTTTCCCTACCCAACCATAAATAATGGGCAGAGGCACCAATACCTGAAATAAGGTCTTCCAGAAATGTGTTGTGAACCTATCTGACTGATGTTGAGTAAGCTTATGAAAAGACTGTAATTACCCTTGCTTCCTGTGATTTATTCTAAACTTCTACGTATTTCTAGAAAATGGCTCCAGATTTGATAGGCCTTTTCAAATGGCCGAAAGAAAACATCCTGCTTAAAACTATGAGAACTTTGTTCAGCTATTGAGAAGAAAAAAAATACACAAGGGAGGAAGTTGCTTGGAAACTCAGAGCAGATTGCTGACGTACAACTCCCAAGGCGAAATCAGCCTGACTAACACGGAGGTGAGAAGATGGATGAGGGGGCTAAGAAGCGAATATCTGTTTGAGTTAATGCAAGGCTCATTTGGAATCTCACTGAAAGAGATACCCTTCTGGACAAGCTGAGCCAGCCACACGAGAGAGAGAGTCAGTGACACAGACAAATCAGAAATGAATTTATAGTAAACACTGGCAAATCCCAAGGAAGCTATGCACCTTTGATAGTGCAGGAGCTCCCAAGATAAAATAGACTTTACTTTCCCAGATCTATCTGAACTCCTTTAGAGGAAATATAATACAGTATCTGAAAAAATATCCCAGACAGGAACATTAAAGTCACATTTCTCCAGCATAACACAGAAACTGCTTTTGAGGAGTTGTGAACGACATGATCAATATGGGAGGCCGAATACCCAGAATGCATAAACAAATCCTCCAAACAGACTAGCTAGAACTTGTCCAGGAAATAATGAAAAATATTACTCATAAATCTCTCAAAGATTGATGGACTATTTGCAAATCTGAAGGCCAATGTTATATATTCACACTTCCTGTAGTGACAGGCAATTTCTGTGGGATGTCTACAATATGCCTCTCTTTCATATGAATGACATGGTAAGCTCTCTTGAAGTCCAACTTGTAGGCTCTCTTGAAGAGGCAACCTTCTCATTTGCAATGAGAAGGTTCTTTAACAATTAGACAATTCAAGATCTTGTAATCAAGGACTGTACTGGGGAAACAATTATTTTTGAGAAAAAAAGGTTGCCNAATCATCAATTCTCAGAATAAATATGGGCTGTATGGGCTGGACAATATAACAATGATAAGAATAGAATCTGGTTCAAAAGTCTTATTCAAAATGTGTTTATCATTGGTTCCTCATTAAGCTAGGAGAGGCAGGATGCTGCAGCATTCAGTCCTAGATCCTACTCTTTTTCGGTATTTTTATTATGACTTGGATGAAGAGGTGAGGGAACAACTTTCAAATAGTGAAGTGAAAAAGATGCTACAGAATGAACAGTACCAATAGAATAGAGAATCTTTGTGGCTCAGGTTGAATTGTGGAATCCTTGGTGCTCTTTGAACTTGGAGGTTTTCTTGCAAATATTTCATTAGCCAACTATCCCTCAGTACTAGAAGAGGTTACCTAGTTGGGTAATGAAACATCTGCAGGAAAACAAACAAGCTCGGAGTGTATCAAGGTCCACACAGAATGTATAATGCCCATGAGCAGTTACAACTATTGTTTTCTCGGATCTCGTGTCAGCTGCAAAGGGCAGCCAAGAGGTATATGTCAGATATACCTTTTCTTGTTCAAATGCAAAGAACTGCACAGTCCTCTCATCAGACTTGTTGACAGCACAAACTTTGATGGGGTAGCTAATAACCTATAAGTCACAAATACCCCAATTCTTATGAGTTAGCAAAATCAATGATGAAAGAATGAATGAAAATGCATAGAGAAAATTACAAAGTTCTTCATTTAGGAAATAAATATCGAATGCACCTAAATTATGTGCAGAATACGTGGCTTAATAATATTACTTGAGGCAACGGTACTGAAATATTGCATGATCCAATCTGAGTTGGTTACCGGGACCATAGATTTAGCCTTCCAAATTTTTGGGCTTGTGCTGGAGCCCATCCTCAGGGAACTTCTCTAAACATGAGAGAGAGAGAGAGACAGAGAGAGAGAGAGAGAGAGAGAGAGAGAGATAGGTAGGTAGGTAGGTAGGTAGGTAGGTAGGTAGGTAGGTAGGTAGGTAGGTATGCAGGCAGGCAGGCAGGCAGGCAGGCAGGCAGGCAGAGATGAGAGAAAGAGAGAGAAAGAGACTGACTGACTTTTAGTTGTTCCTTAGGATGTTGATGGCTGGCTATTAAGTCATTAAACATACTGGGAGACTCTTTGACCACAAAACTTTGTGGGAGATGGCTGGTAAATAGGCCCATGCAATTTTAGGTGGCATCAACAGAAGTATGGTTTCAAAGGATAGAAATGGTAAGATCTTAATAGCAATAGCAATAGCAGTAGACTTATATACCGCTTCATAGGGCTTTCAGCCCTCTCTAAGCGG